TCATCCCTATTTTGCATTTGAAGAAACGGGCAGCACAGAGACAGAAAGTAACCTGCCCAAGGTCACGGCGGCCGAGGAGGTGGAGCCTAGTTCTCAGAGCAAAGGCATCACACTCTGAAGCCTGAGTTGGTCTCTGAAACCGGAAGTCGAGCCCCCACAGACGGCAAGTGCCTTTCAAAGGAATCTGGCAAGATTGCTATTTACCGCCCACCCCCACCCCAGCCCAAGAAAGGAAGGAACTTCCGAAAGGAAGTCGGGGCCTCCGGAGAAGTTAAATCTGTCCCTTCTGGTCCCTCTGTTACCTTAGGAATCTGAATGAGGCCGTGGGGGCCAGCAGGGCTCTGCCTGTGTTTGCCGAGAGCAAACACCAGGGGTAGGAATGGCTGCCGGCTGCCACGCGGCTTTTCTGCATGGGGAGGGGCTTCCTGGGTCCGGCTGTGGGGCCCTAAACTCCCTGGAGCAGGGCAATAATGGGGAAGACCTGAAGAGCCAGATAATAAAGTGGGGGGGAGTGGGAGAGGCCGGGTGCCATGGTCTGGGGGCTTCTCCTCCCTTTCTGCTAGCCCCGGGGCACGGGGTCGCAGAAAAAGCCCTTTGCTGGTTCAAACTTTAACCCACCTGCTCCTCCCTGCAGAAAGGGAACCATGACCCCAACAGTGCCCCTCTGCGAGGGGACGGACGGCTGCTCCCTGGATGGGCAGCCCTTCCAGGGCGGGCCACAGCACCTGTCCCGTCTCCCCTCCTCACCCTGACCTGGTCACATCGTCACTCATCACTCATCGATCAGCGCGAGACAAGGCATTTCGCCGTGCGCTGGACGCTCCTGTCCTGAAGTCGCTCTCCCGATTTTGCCGTCGACTGCCAAACACTAAAGGACAGGCAAGGGGCACACGCAGAGGATTCGTTCCTTCGGGTGCCCGGCCCAGAGGCGAGGGCCCAGAACGGGCTGGGCACCACACGATGGTGGGACCTGTGTGCCATGCCTCAACGGCACAGGGAAAACCCATCAGCCCACATCAGCTTCCGGGCTGACTCTGGCGAGGCACAGGCCTGCCTCCAGGGCCCGTGGGGCCGAGTTACTGATTTTACTGTTAGTACCTGAGTTTGGAGTTCAAAGCTAGAAGGGCAGGTGTCCCTAGTCTCCTGAGCTAACCCCACCGCCTTCTGTTAAGTCACCCTGAGCACCCACCCTGAATCACCCCAACCTCCTTGGTAGTCCAGGCTCACAAATCAGGAATGTTGGGGCTGTGGGCTTCCAAGTGTGACCACCGTTTTTTTTTTTTTTTTTTTTAAATAAATTTGCAAACATAAATCAATTTGCAAACCAAACCCAGGGCTGCTTCCCTTCGGCTGGGCCCGGGGCAGCCGGTAACTGCAGGGGCTGCGGAACAGACAGCGAGGCCAGCCGGCCGCTCCGGCCTCCCGACAGTCTCTTGGCACGAGTTCTGGGTACGGTGCCAGGAGGGTGAGGCAGGAGAGGGTCTGAGGTTCAGCGGGACACACCTGAGAAGACCTTGGCCGCTGTGTCCCAGGGAATTAACCCATCAAGTCCCAGGGGACGGGTAAAGGTAGTGGGCGACTTGGGAGCCGGTAACCTGATGGACGGGGTGATCTGGCTCTCAGGTATGAGCTCGTGGCCTTTTCCGTCTCGTGATTAACCCCCAGGGACAAAGCAGCAATGGTAGGCACGAGAGGGAGGGGACCCCGAACGCATCAGGATGTCGAGGCTTTAAAACCCCAGAGCCATCCCTCCTAAGAAAAGGGACCAGCAGACACCAGAGGATCTTGAGTCTGAACCCGCGTCCTAGAGTTCGCCCCACTGACAAGGGTTGTGTGGCTTCTGCAGATCTCGCCCCTGACGTGGGCCGTGGCGTGTCAGCCCCACAGGGCCGTGAAGTTCAGCACAGGAAGGGCTTAGGGTCACTCGCCGCGCGAGCAGTGAGTGTCGTTGGCCATAACTGTTTCTTCCTTTGCACACTTACCCGCACACACGCACACATGCTGCCCCCTAATTCAAAGTGGGAGCTGAATGCTGGAGGCTGGTGGGGAAGCTCCAAACTGTCCTCCCCCTTCCTGGGGTGCAGGGGGCCCTTGCAAATCTCTGCCTTGGGGGGAACCCCACTCCCTGGGGAAGGGGGGAGGGACACTCACCAGACCTGGGCGATATCCGGGAGAGGGGGGCCCCGCTCCTGCCCTTGGCTGGCAGCTCCACTAGGGGATGTCTCGCTCCAGGGAGCCCCACTAAGACTCCCGTCCAGCGCCTTAGTGGGGGCGCCTCTCTCCTGGTCCTCTCAAGGGAACGGCTCATGGTCCAGGAGTTGGCATGGGAGGCGAGGGGCACGCATTCCAGTCAGACCAGGGCCTCTCAGCTGCTCTGGCCCTTCCCTGCCCCGCCCTACTTCAAACACCCAGGCTGAGCTGCACACAGGACTTTAACCCCGTGGGCGCCATCATGGTCCCAAGGGTCCCTAGGTCCCCCGACCTTGGCGTTCCCTGGACAAAGTGCGGCCTCGGGTTTCAGAGCCTGGTAGAGACGGGGAGAGGAAGGCAAGCCGGGGCCCCCTGAGGGGACAGTGTGTGGGAACCTGAGGTGCAGGAGCCTGCCCCGCGCTCTGCGGGCACAGGGCAGAGCTCGGGGGAGAGGCCACCCCGGGGAGGCCCACAGCTGGGGGCCTGAGCGCTCTGCTGTCTCACGGCGCCTTCGGAGCTGCTCACGGGCAGGTCGCAGTGGGGACAGGCGCCTGTGCTTTCCGTGATGAAGGACGCGCAGCTCACACCACACGGCCCCCCGGCTCGTCGTGGGTCCCCTCACTGTTCCACCCCGTCCCCACGGCCGGGCACACCCCGGACTCCAACGGTGCTGCAGTGGGCAGAGCCTGGCCGTGGAGAAGGGACCCGAGGCCTCACTGCCCCGTCTGTGAAGTGGGGGTGTTCAGTGAGATCTGTGCAAACGGTGACAGACACGCGGGGCCCCGTCCGGTCACTCCGCGAACGGACAGACCGCCGCCCGCTGCGTGACCTCGCGTGAGCTGCGTCGCTCTGTGCCTTTGCTGATGCACTAACAAGAGGCCAAAGCAGCTGCCCCCGGCCTACGCGTGCGCTGAACTCACCCGGGGGACAGGAAGAGGGCAGTTGGTGGCGATGTGGAAGCTGTGCCCTTTCCGACCTGACTGGGTCCCAGACCACGCGGTGGGTGACAGGGGTGCTGCTCACCTCACAGGAACGCAGGCCGAGCACCTGCCCCGTGTCACTGGTGGGGGGTCCTCAGAAATCCTCTAACCAAACCACGTCATGGCTGGTCCACTGAGGACACAGGCTCGGGACGGAGCGTGACTTAGCTGAGGCCGCACGCCCAGCGGGTGACGGGTGGCGGGTGGGGACGGCCAGCACTGCCACGGCCTGGGTCGGTGCTGCTCCCACCACGGGGCCATCCGCTCAGGGACCGTGAATGCTGGGCACCCCGCTCCCGCAGACTCCCATGCCTGTCTCCCACTGACCTGGTGGCATCCCAGAGCCTGGAACGTAGGGTGTGGGGACCGAGCAGGTGGCCGCTGGAAGTTTGGACCAGGTCAGAGGGGCCGATGGATGGTTTCGGGGGTCTGCAGCATGCGGTGCTGGGGTACCCTCTGTGCTGCCATTTAGGGGGAGCCCCTCGGTGTTGGCCCCCAACCTCCAGGGAGTGTGGGGCCAGGGCTCCCGCCCCCTCCGTGCAGAGCTGCAGGCAGTCTGGGGCGGGCCCCCCTCCCCAGGGTGCTGCCACTGGAGTGGGTGGTGCTGTCTGTCGCCCCTACCGAGCTACCTCAGCGGAGCTAAGAGGGGTCACCCTGAACCCTGAAGCCGACCGTCCCCGCGGAGTTTGCGGACACAGAGGCTCTTCCCCGCGCCAAGCGCACTCACGGGAGGCTCAGGTTCCATCCAGCCGCAGAGCGCGGCCTCTCCAGGGATGGAGTACCGGTGCCTGTGACACTAACTGCCTTCACAATGCTTCTCCTGTCACCTGTCAGGTGTCCGGCCCAGTCCCCTCCCCACTGCTGAGTCCTGGCAGGAGAGGTAAGGGCTGCCCCAGCCCTCAGGAAAGCAGCAGCTCCGAGTTGGGGCTGAGGAAGCCACCTCTGCCGTCACCTTCCGGCTGTGGAGCCGCCTTGTCCTCAGAGCACGCCTCCTCCCACGGGCTAACTCCTCACTGCGTCTCCCGTGAGGCCACACAGGTGGCGGAGACTGGCGTCGTCATGGTCCCAGCCAGCCGGCCACGTGACACGCATGGACCTGGCCCCATCCCGAGCCTGTCCCAGGGAACACAGGGACAGAAGCAAACGCCCCCCTCGCACTCACCTGGCCGGCCCTGGGGTGTCCGAGCCGCAGCCCCCGGAGGAGGGAGGTGAGCTGGTGGAGGGCGACCCCGCCGGGAGCCTCTCGCTGTCTCCATGTCCTCTTCATGCTCCCCGGGGCGCAGGCTCCGCTCCACGGCCGGGCTCCCCCATCCCCACGGGTCTGTACTGGAGCCTCGGTGAAGAACAAAGCGGCCGTTTGTTGGGCTCCCCTCCTGCCTGGGAGGCTGTGCTCGG